TGTGTGTGTGTGTGTGTGTGTGTGTGTGTGTGTGTGTGTGTGTGTGTGTGTGTGTGTGTGTGTGTGTGTGTGTGTGTGTTGTGTGTGTGTGTGTGTGTGTGTGTGTGTGTGTGTGTGTGTGTGTCTGTCTGTCTGTCTGTCTGTCTGTCTGTCTGTGTGTGTGTGTGTGCGTGCGTGTGTAAATATATCTGAAACACACACGCACGTCAAAATTATTCCAGTTCATTAAACCAACAGAAATATAACGAGATAACATTATTTGTTCAGCGAGAGAGAACTATGTGTTGCCTGATGAATGTAACAGGTAACAGTAATGAGAATCGTTATCAAAAGTGATAATCTGCATTGTTTATGAAAATGACAGAATAATGATAATGAGTTATTAGAAGTATCATTATCACTATTTGTTTCAATTGTCGCTGTTATTATTGTCCTTGTTATTCTTATCATTATTATCTTATAATTATTATCATTATTATCATTTCATTATTATTATCATGATTATTTTCATTATATATAATTATCATCATTATTATTATTTATTATATTATCATGATTATTGTTTTCATTATTATTGTTTTATAATTATTATCATTATTATTTTATTATTATTATTATTATCGTTTTTATTTCATTATTATTATTATTTCTATTATTATTGTTATTCAATTGTTATCATTATTATCATTATTGTTATTATTTTATTATTTTCATCATCATCATCATCATCATCATCATCATCATCATCATCATCATCATCATTCATCATCATCATTATTATTATTATTATTATTATTATTACTATTATTGTTATTATCATTATTATATCATTATCATCATTATTATTATTGCTATCACTGTTATTATTATCATTACCAAATACCATCATTATCATAACAGTAACAGTAATAATGATAATCACATTAACAATGATCATCAGCAACAAATAATAAAGCTCAAATAAACAAAAATGGAAAAAAAGCAAACATACAAAGGAACGAAACGCAATGTGCTAAAACGTATTTATTTTCCCCGCAAAATCTTTTCCTTCCTTCCCGCGTCCCGCCCAACGCGGATGTGAAGGGATATGAGAGCTGCAGAAGAACCAGGAGATAGCGTTCGAGTTTCGAGAATTTTCGGAGGTCATGGCATAATTTTTGTAGTTGTTTGTTGTTTTTGTTTTTGTTGTAGGTTATTTTTTGTGGGTTAGTTGTTGTTTTTCGAAAAGGAATTGAGGTGAGAAAACCGTTACGGGAAGCAGGAGATAGCGTTCGAGTTTCGTGTATTTTTAGAGATCGCATATAAATCATGAAATCATTTTCTGTGGTTGTCTTGTTGTTGTTGTTGTTTACGGGTTACTATTTTTTTTTTTTTTTTTTTTTTTTTTAATGAATCGAGGTGAGAAAACCGTTACGGGAGGCAGGAGAAAGCGTCTGAGTTTCGAGTATTTTCGAAGTTCGCAAATACACAATAGAATCATTTTCTGTAGTTGTTTCGTTGTTGTTGTAGATGTTATCTTTTTTTATGGGATGGGAGGTTGTTTCGTCTTTGTTCTGAAAGCGGAGCGAGGTGAGAGAGCCGTTACGGGAACCAAAAGATGGCGTTCGAGTTTCGCGCATTTTCCGAGATCACAAAAACATTCCAGGAGAATTGTTGTCGTTATTGCTGTTTTTTGCTTTTTTTTTTTTTTTTTTTTTTTTTTTTTTTTTTTTTTTTTTTTTTTTTTTAGTGGCGGGAATCCTTTCTGTTCCTGGTAGAGGAATGAGGTGCAAGAGCCGTAGACAAGCGGGAGGTTTTCGAAAATTGCAAAAACCTCATGGATATTCTTTTTTTTTTTTTCGGGGGGTGGGGGTGGAGTTGTGGCTGTTGTCATTTGGTGAATAGCAATGTTGTAATTGTCCTTGTTTTTTTTATTTTTATTATTATTTTTTTTTTTTTTACTTGTTATTGCTATCATTATTTTTGTTGACGTTGTTGTTGATGTTTCTATTACTATTTTCATTGTTACTAAGCAAATCATCTGCGTTATTACCATTGTTATTGCTACTTTTATTGTTTTTATTATCATTACCATAGCCATTTATTGTCGTTATTATCATTATTATTATTATCATTAGTTATTATCATTATTATTATTATCATTAGCATTTCCATTTTTACTACTATTATTATCATTATTATTAACATTATTATCATTATTATTATTATCATTAGCATTTCCATTTTTACTACTATTATTATCATTATTATTAACATTATTATCATTATAATTTCTATTATCACCATAATCATCATTATTTTCATTACTATCATTATCATTTTTATGATTATTGTTATTGTTATTATCATTATTATAGTTATTAGAGTAGTTGTAGTAGTAGTATCATTATTATCATTATCATTATTATTGTCATCAGCATCATCATTATCACCACCACTATCATTATCATCATTATCTTCTAACTCATCTCATTTCCTAAACTGACCAAAAATCGAAATT